ACCCATGACATGAAGTGGAGTTTCCCTACAGTAGCCGGAGCATGGGGGATGTATTTTACACTTGTAGGGGGGGGGGGCTGGTATTTGACATTGGGAGGAAGGGGGTGACTTTTCAAATCTGTATCTGCGGCGTGGTATGTTTTTGTTTTACTTGAGATGCTGACCGCAGAAATATGTCAAGCTCAATGCTGTAGAAGCTTGAGCTTTTAGGCAGAAATGCCCCTAAGATCTTTCTGAAGCATATTTCACGCTACCCCAGAACCCTGTTTAATCATTGCCACAATTTACCGTACTCATCCACACCATGCCACTGGAATCCCTAGAGAACTGCACAATAAAAATAGCTTAGGTGGACCCGCCACCCAGTAATAGTGACTGTAAGGTATAATTGGCGATAATGCTAGGGCCTTCTCATGTTCCTATTGTACCTCTATTGCATGGTGGGGGGTCCACCTAAAACATAGCTCAGAATGCTATTTTACTTCTAGGTTCCTGATAATTCAGAACTCTTCCACATCAAAGTGCCAGTCTTGATGACCAAGTTTCTCTGCAAAGCCTTGGCTGAACCCCTCAGCCCCTCAATTGCAGATCCTAAACCCTCAACCCCCTGAATTTAATCCCCTAAGTCCTAAACCCCCAAATCCAACGCCCCTTTTTCCTAAACCCCTAAACCTTAAACCTTTCAATCCCAAACCCCTAAACCTTAAACCTTGAAATCCAAAACCCATAAACTTTAAACCTCTAAATCCGAAACCCCTAAACCCCTAAATCCTAAACCCAAGATTCCAAGAGTCCCGAGGAGTCCCGAACTGTCATCCCCTTATACAAGAAGCAGAGGGAGGCCTCCGCTCCGGAAAATCCATGGGGCTGGTCTTGGGTTGAGGATGTAGGGGTTTAGGAGTTAGGGGTTTAGGATTTCGGGGTTCAGGGTTCTGAAGTTAGAGTAAGATGACATACTCCTTTTGAGGTACAAGACTGGCAAGAAGAATGAAAATTGTATTTGGGTCAGCCGCCAACCCACCAAAACATTACTCAGCAGGTTCCAGATGCTTGGTGAAGACAGTTTGGAACCTTTTTAGGTGGCGTCAATCCCCCTACAGTAATCTCTCCTAATTTTGGAATTAATAGGGCCTTGCTATACCTGCAAGAGTAGTGTTTTGTGATGCCCATGACTGGGTGGGGGATTGACCCAAACCTTTGTGAGCATCCTGTCCGCAACTTGCTATAAGGTTTTCTGGACGCTGTGATACTTCGGGTTTTCCGAACAGGATGAGCTGAATAGAAAGCGGGTAAATGATCTGGAACAGTAAAACCCATTGAAGCTGACCAGGCGTATTAGCGAAAGCTCTAAACCATAAGGCTACACCGTACTTGGAGGTTCAGGGTTCAAGGAGCCCCTCAAGTCTTCTAATTTGCGTTAAACCTTCAAGTGCAAGCTGTCACTGTTTCATCCTGGTATTTGGATGTGCCCCTCAGTTATCAGCAGCTTACCAGAACAAGGCCATGAGTGGAATCTTTCCAGAAACCCAAGCTTCAAGCCCCTAACCCTCACGAATGTGCGCCTGGGGGCCAAACTTGTCCTTCTCCCTGGAAGACCTGGAAAAAGCAGTTTGCAAAGCTCCTGCCTTTAATGCGCAGTTTCTTTTGTACACACCAAAAAGAGGGGGCTGCAAAATAAAAACACTTCTCCAAGGGACCCAGGATTTTGAGAATGGCAGATAGGAGCAATTCCTTGAAAAAAAGGGGCCAAGTTGCTGGGCCAGGAAATCCTGGAAGAGATCCGGGATCTCATCGTCCAGGCTCTTTGGGCCAAAAGCTGCAGAGTTCCAATCGGAGCTTGCATTTTTTGTCTAGAAGCCGTTCGGAGGCTTTGGAATTCTGTTCCTGATGCAACATTGTCCTGCTGCAGCCCCTATACGATTCACGTTTCAGTTCTCCTGCTCCTCTGGAACCCTCACCAGCTCTTCTGCAATCTAATTTGGCTTTTCAACAATTGATCTGGTACTCACGCCCCTTTGAATCCTTGTCGTTCCCATGTCCCAGGACTTCCCTGAAGAGATGTAAGTTTGAGAAGCCCCGCATCATAAGCCGCTGGAAAGTCCTTGGGGTTTGGGATTGCTACTGGGGCGGGCAACGGGCTAGCAGCGGAACATCCACAGGGTTCTGTCAAGGGCTTAGTTTCCCTAAGCCCTGAAGCCCATTTAGATATATATATATATATACATAGACATATATATATATATATACAACTATAAATATATACACGCACTTTGCATATATATATATATAAATATAAATATAAATATGTATATCCTACTAAGCCCCAGACCGCCAGTAAGAAATTCTGAGCCTGAAGCAATGCGCCGTCAGGACGATGCGGCCAAGCAAGAGCTGGAGAAGGCGGCGAGTTGACACAGGGCCGAGGGTTTTAGGGTTCAGGGTTTGAGGGTTTAGAAGTTGATATGGTGGTCTCCCTACATGGAGAATCCCAATACATCCCAAAATGCTTTAATCCTCCTTATGGGGGCATCCAAAAAGTACACTAAGTACACCTAATTTCGGGAAACCGCCATATGGCCGGTGGTCGGATCTGGGGGTACTACTCACTCATTAGCAGGGAAAGGAGGAAAATAGGATGCAGAGACTTGCAGAGAGGATGCCTTGATGTTGTCAACGCGTCAAACTGCCAAGACATGAGCTTTCGTACCTTCGGGTTTAGGGTTTAGGTTTCGGCTTTAGGGTATAGTCTCTCCAAATTTCTGATGCTGCGCAGACACCTGTGTACATCATTGCGCGCAATGATGCAGCAGACGTATCAGAACAATGGGCAATCATTGATGCAGTACAACCGGGCAAGATAAGAGACTTTGCCATTGGTGGCCTCGAACTCTCTGGCTGAGGTTTGCGGACTTGTTGGTTTCTGCACAGAATGCCCCATAAATTCCGGAAGTCCATTGCATGACATGGCATGTGAAGAAGCAATTGAACATTTGCTACCCATTGCAAAGCCCCATGTGAGGGATGAACATCGGTAGTTGTCAAATGTGGGTCCGCTGTAAGATTCAGCCGCAGCAAGATGAGGAACGTCTTTGTCCATTGCCATTGCAGTGCAGTTTATAGGTAGCAGTTCTAGTGATGGCCCCCCAGTGCCAAGTACTGATCAAACCAAGGTACTTTCCCATATCCTCATAGTCCTGTTTGTCTTTGGAGCTCCCTTGTGTGTCAAGTGTCCACGACGAGCCATCCAACTGGAACCTCGCTGAGAATTACGGATTGGATCTCTGCCCTTTCTCACGGAATCCATTTCCCAATTCCGTACCCTAAAACCTTAAACTCCAAACCATTCCTTAATTTTTGACTGGAGTCTCCCGGCCAGGTCCAGGGAACCCTTTTAGCGAAGCAGCACAAGGACCACCGCACTGCAGCTCCCGACTCCAGGGTTACGGGTCGGCGTTCTGTCCCTCGCGCAATCTCCCCTAACATCGGGTGTCTGCTTTATTGTAGGCTTGTGTCAGGAAGCCCTGAAACCTCCATGCATGCAGACCCCGTCTCAAGAATTCTGTGCTTCTACCACCTGGAGCCAAACGCTCTACCTCAGAAGACCAATATGGATCCTCAAACTTGTCCTGTCATGAGCACAACAAGCAGGCGTGTGCATGTATTCATGTCAGCATGACCGCAACACTTGCGATTCAAGATCTGGAAAAGCCGTGGCAGCACGGATGGTAGAAATAATGTGAGCGATACCTTTGAAGCCTAAAGGATTACCAACAAGTTCTTTTTCAAAGGCTAAACATGCCAAGTACACCATAGTTCTGTGTCTTAAGACGCTGATCCTGAAACCCTGAACCCCAAAGCCCAAGACTACTCAACTCGAGGTGTTCGAAAAGTAGCTGTGTGAACATACTGTTTCACCCAAAAACTACAGTCCCCCTGTCCCCCCTAGCCCTATCCTAACTCTTGAGCCCTTAGCCTAAAGCTTGCAGCCTAAGGGATGACAGTCGGCACATGGTAGGGGTGGGACGATCATCCCTATCATCATCCAAAAGAACATCCTCTGAAATATCTTAGGCGCCGAAATGCATAGGGGTTTTTACCCGCCGAAAGGCGTAGGGGTCTTTAAGGGTGTTTAGGCGCCGAAAGGCGTAGGCGTCTGTAGGGGTTTGGCTGAGCATATCGATCAGTTAGGCCCAACGCCCCCACATCCTAAACCCAAGCACTCAGCTGTTAACCTTATTGCTACAACGCCACACCCTCTTACTTCCTTCTTTTCCTTGAACTGGGTTGCCGTTAAGTTATCCAATTTAACTTACCACATTGTGGGTATATAGTAAATAATGGGTTTCCTCATTTTAGTAAACCCTAAGCCCTAAACCCCTGAACCAATGTTTAGAAAAGTTCCATAACAGCAACCCAGTAAAGCCATGGGTGCCTCGCTGGCCACCCTACCCTAAACCCTAATCCTAAAGCCTAACCCCTACATCCTGAACCCTAAACCCTAAACCTTTTCCTTAAAGCTATGGGTGCCTCGCTGGCCACCAGCCTCCTGGGTTCTGATGGCTGCCTCCCGAGGTTCCTTTTAGGCCTCAGGAACCGCAGGAGGCCAGGTTTAGGGTGTAGGGGTTTAGG